TATTTAATACTTCTAGATAAGAAGAAACAGGATGTGGACTATAAAGTGATTTATAGGCTAGCAGTGAAATTCATGGCTTTCATTTGATCTTATTTATGACTCCTCAGCTGCGCGTACCTGAATCTAACTGCCTTTTTGACTTGTTTTTTCAAATTCCAACGGGTTATCCACTAAATAATTAAGTGCAGATTACCATTGGTTCGTGTATGTTCTAGTTAATGACAGTAGGTTCAAATATTAATATAAACATCAACGATGAGATCTAGGTTAATCCAGCTAAGAAGTCTCGAATAGAACAAAACATGTCATAAATTCCATGGTCAGCCACTAATCAACTTTATTCCATACAATGTTTCTTGTCTAAACGATCAGTAAATGCTTATGCACGCATTATGTGAATGGATAAAAAAGCATGAAAAATTAGTACTGAATAAGTATTTTGTTTTAAATAAAATTGTTTCACCTAGCAATATACAATTTGAATTGCATGTTTTTATAATAACCACATAATAATCATAATTGTCAGATCCCAAAAACTGACATTTACTTGGCAGCTGTCAGTGCAAAATGTGATTTACTTCAGGCTTCGTAATAGTGGATAACGAAAAATATATTTATATCTAAGAGAAAAAAAGACAAAATAACAAGAATTTATAGAAAGAATTTCAGGTTTAATTAGACTTTTTAACGACTTTTGTCTATTTTAAACATACGTTTTTGAACGAAAATCGAAATAAACCAGAAAACTGATTAAACTTGAAAGTGTGCACACTGAGTCCGGTTACTTTAATCGAAAAACATCGTGCTAGTTACAAACAATAAGAATTAGCAGTTTAAGGGTTGTGAAGATTGTTAAGTTTTTGATTGAGATCATGTACCAATTGATGTTAGACCATCACTGAAAACATGGAAGCACCGGACGACTGTTTCGTCCTATTGTGGGACTCCTCAGCAGCGCGCACCCGCGATCCTACTGGCGGGGCTCCAACTCAGGGAACGCGCGCGAACGCTTTTTTTATTATGTTCTGATATGCTGTGGTCATTTATTCATTATAAATCAATGTAAAACTGACTTTAGTAACCAATAAATTGATAGACAAACTATTCTATAGTTTGTTAGCGATTTGGTAATAACAGACATCACACCATGAGATGACATTGTAAATTAGTTCTTTATCATGAATTTGTGTACAGTTCTGATAAAAAAAACTCAAAGGCTGATATAAGCACATATGAGTAGACGTTCGAAACGAGACAAAATCTATTATGAAAAAAGTATCTCATGAATCTTTGTATCCAGGCAAAATAAACAGTACTACTAATAATAGTTCGTCGAAATCTCAACAACAAAACATCTCAACATATGTTATTTAACTGGAAGAAAATGTAAACAAAATAACTCAAAAGACTGAGAGAAATAGATGTATGACAAAAAAATATTCTTCTATAACCGATAACTTGGCAACAGTATCATGAGCTTTAAATGTAAGACAAAACATACTATAATTTCGACCATTGATTCAAACACACTTTTCTAATGATTACAATCAGTATATCAAATTGTAAATGATAATTAGTTATTACAAATTGCTATCTCATGAACTTCCTATATGTTTAAGCCTTGAATTCACTATGAGTTAAAACAGAAACTAGTCATCTTGGTAATGAAGATGAATCTATTTGTTTAACCTGTTTGAAGCAGTTTACACTTTAAGTTTTACATTTACGTTGATTACTTATGCATAAAATAAACTTGCTTTAATGTTACATAAGTTTATTTCTAATCATTTTTCTCTTATGTACAATCAGTAATTTATTAATTATATAATAAGTTCTATATGAATAAACATTCATCTGACAAGAAATACTAAAGTTATCTACAATAATTGTGCAAACCTGTAGAGATTTTAGCGTTTACACTTTTTCGCAATTCAAGTATCCCAGTTATTTGCCTGATTAATTAGCATGTAGTTAAAATACTTTATAAAAAATATTTTGCTAATGAAATACAAGTTAGATTTGTTATTGCTTAGAATTGCTATCCAATAGTTCAAGATATAAATATTAGAGTTTAAGGATATATAAAGATATTTTAATGTAGTTTGTGTTACGGCATCCTTGATGACCATTCCATGTTTCTATATCATATGAAAAGATCCAGTTCTTGAATTTTATCAAGTATAATACAAGGCTAATAAATTTCCAAGTAAAGGTACTTTAAGAAAAGAATAAAGATGAGTAAATTATAATCCATATTTCGTACTAATTTTTAATATGATTGGTTATACCTACGATTATCTGCAAGTATCACTATTCTTTAGATAGTTTCAAAATATCTGAAAACGATGTGGAGGATATGAAAGTAGTTGTGACGTTGCCGTTGAGTTACTTACGTATATAGTTAAGCTAGTTTCTCCGCGTGAAGAAAGATAGGATCATCACCACCATTCACTATCCAGCTCGTGTCCCGAGCAATCCTTTCCAGCTCTCTCCAGTTTCTAATCATTCTCTACCATGTATGCTTCCGATTCTCCACATCGTGTGTTCTTGGGTCTTCCACGTTTCCGTTAAACTTTCAGGAATCCCAGTTACCACTTTCCTCGTGATGCAGTTTGACGATTGCCATAATGAATGTCCTACACACCTCCAACGTCTTTTACCTATTTTCTTTTCAAATGGAAGTTGGTTTGTTCTCTTCTACAGTAGGATGTTGCTGATAGCATTTAGCCAACGGAAATTGCGTATCTTGAGTAGACAATTGTTTATAAATACTTTTGCTCTCTTGATGATGGTTGTGGTAGTTTCTTAAAATTCAGGTCCGTATGGTAGAAACTTTCATATTGAAGATTGTGACTTTGATATTTGTTGAAAGTTGTTTTAAGTTTCATATCTTCGTCGATTGTGTTCTTCGATCCTGTTCAGCAACGCTGTTGAAACCTTTCCGTGATGCCGATAGTAGTGTAATTTCTCTTTAGACTCCACATTTGCTCAGATCTTCATACTTTGTTATCTTGATGAATATCCTTCTTCCCAGTTCATTGGCAGCACTTGTTCTTCCTCACATCTTCCTTAGTAGAACATAGAGCATCTTTGCAGTAGTTTCTATGTATGACTTCAGGGCTTCAGCTGGTATATTTTCCGATTCTGTTGCTTTCCTACTCTTCATTTGTCTGATGGCCATGATGAGTTGTTCCGTTTTGATGGAGTTTTGTTCTCTGGTCTGGATGGTTTGTTCATGGAGCTTTCATCGTTATTCTTAGTGACATTATCGGCACAAACTTTAGGTAGAAATTCGAACATTTCACTTCTACCTGAAGTTTATGCTGATGATGTTACTTAGAATAACAATGAAAGCTCCACGAACAAAACATTCAATTCAGAGAACAAAACTCCATCAACTCCATTGTGATCTCTATTTCTTCCGTCGATAGTAGAGTGACGTCTCAAGACCGGATAGACTAGCTAGTGGTGGAGTCTTTTCTGTCTAGTAGTGCAGTGACACAAGAATATTTTATACGATATTATAATGATTTTTCAGCTCCGAATTAACGACATATTGCAGTACATTCTTTTTTTCAACATTTTAAGTAAGCTATTTTTACGAATGTCATGTATAGCTTTCTCAATTACAAGGATTCTATGCCATTTCTCACTTTGCAGATCCCATCAAACATGATGTTTTACAAAAGATTTTGACTCTACTCTACATTAATCGCTATTCACCTAATCCCTCGTTCTGATAGATGAATGATAGTCTCTACAGTGCAGTCGTTGTTTATCTTGCAGATGATATTAGTATTACACAAAGAATTAAGAGTGTATAAAGTAGTTAATAGACATTATTATTAGATAGAAAATAACAAAACATGAAAATCTTTTGTAAAGTTAAACAATTTGAAAACAAGTACACCAAAAAATTAGCCTGATCGTAACACATATCATTGTACATAAATATTTCCAACGATCAGCGGCTAGTTGAGAGAGCTGAAATTTCTAAGTATGGTCCATGGTGGACAGAACTATTGAAGAGATCAAAGAAATGATAAATCCGTTATTCATTATTCCTTGATTTTCAACAAAACTTCAAATGATATTAACTTGTGAATAATTCAAGGGAAAAAATATTTCAACATTTTTCTTTGAACACCCGCAAAATCTGAATTAGTTTGATAATATTTCAAATTAAACAAATTTACCAATGTTTTTTTCCTTTTATTTCCAACGATCTTTTTCTCTTATCACCTCTTTAATTATTTGTATTTTATGTATTTTTTTGACATAATAAATCAATTATCTATCGATATCTGCACAGACACTCAACTCTACATCAGAAAACTTAAATCTAGCTTATCGGAAATGTAATTATCTAGCGTAACCCTTACTGACAAATTTATGTTTCTTCAGTATTCACATTGTTTTTTTATAGAATTTCAATTTATAATCACAAGGAGTTTTGTGGAGATTGTAGTAACTTCAATAGTTGAGATCATGAGTCAGTTGAAACTAGGCCACCAAGAAAAACCTGGAAGCACTGGACGACCGTTTCGTTCTATTATGGGACCTATTGATCTCACGAGCTAGCGTTTAACCACTAGACCACCCAGCCGGCATCCAACGGTGTTAATGTTTAACTTCAACTAATGTACGAAATCGAGTGACACATCTACCATTGTCATCAGTCAGTTACTGTCTCACAACATACGAGATTGAACTGACTGATAGGTCCTGGGTTCGAATCCCGCGAGGCGGGGTCGTGGATACGCACACCTGAGAAGTCCCACAATAGAATGAAACGGCCGTCTGCTTCCACGTTTTCCAAGGTGGTCTAGCTTCAATTGGCTCATGATCTCAACTATTCAACTTATAAGTTGCATTTAATGAATGTGAATTGAAACATTTTAATTGTATCTAATAATGTGTAGTTAAATTGATAAAATTCGATGTTAAATGTTAAATGAAATATTATTTTAAGCCCAATGATTATTTTTCTTTCAACTCAGCGCCGATGAACGCTTAGAAGAACGACGAGAATGTGCTGTAAGAGTTGATCACAATGGTGTAGTAGAGTGGCATCCAATGGCAATTTATAAAAGCACATGTCCTGTGAAGATTAAATATTTTCCATATGATAAACAAGTCTGTTATCTTCGCTTTGGACCATGGACTTTTGACAGGTAAGAAATGAATTATGTGTATAAATTCTTGAAACGAATAAATACTGTTAGTAATATGGGACTTTGTGAGACTGTTTGGCAGTTTTTCAGCCTGTTGGTTAAATTTTATTTCGAGTCAGGAATAGATATGCATCATCCTAAGTTACAAAATTGAAGCTATACGTTGAAATAAAATTAACAGGAGAAAAAACAAAAAGTTGAAATAATAGTAGTTTCAATCATTATAAGAGAAATAAAACATTATAGAACACTGTTCATGAGAGGAATGAACTCGAGAGATAAATAATATCGAAAATGACGACTCGGAGGAAGATAAGGATTTGATGCATCGAGGCTACCTACCTCACACAGGTTCTCCAGGGATTAATCACGGTTATCACTCGGAAACTGACAGTGTGGCCTGTAGCAACCGGCATTGCTCAGTTCAGCGGTCAGTGACTCTACAGACTGACTACATGATTTGTTTTGCCAAACGATCAGCCTTTTCCTAGTAGATTCTTATTCTAGACAAAACTGAGCATCGATATATGTGATAGGAGCACGTGTTGTTTTATCAGTGTTATAATTGTTATAGTTGGTTAAGCACAACTTCAGACCCAGGTCTTCTTAATTACGGATACAAATCACTTCTTATACTAATCATGTATCATCACCTAAAGACTACACATCATAAATTATTCACAATTAAACTGTCGCATCTTTAAAAAAATAATATTTTTGGAAGCATTCGTGATCAGGTCACTAATTAGAGAAGCATTTGTTTACACAGTTTATTTCTGACTCATTTCGCCTTATGCCTGTAGAACTAATGACCTTTTGGCCTTATAGTGACATAATGATTTTCACCTAAACAATAACTCAATGACCATGGATAATGACAGAGAATTTTTATGCTCATCAGTTCAGCATGCTTCTTTAATCCGATAAGCAGTCAAAAACAAACACAGAAAGCGGTTTATTTTCCTATTCTTCTCTATTCAATTTAATCCATAAAACGTATGACATTATTCCATAAAAACCCAACCACACACCAATACATAAGTATAATAACGTGTACATGACTAAACCAGAAGCCTACTTATGATGAATTTAAGGTCGAAATTTGTGCAAATAATCACTAACTGTACGGTATTTTTTGAGTACTTCCATTCAATCAAGTAAGGTGTCAAATTTATATCTCATCAATAATATTAGGTAACCTAATTCATCGTAATGAAATATTTTTCTAGTAAAATATATTTTGTGATTCAACTAACTATATGATTGAATAATGATAAATTCAAAATGATGGTGTTCATCAAAATTAGCATTTGATGCTGTGTATTAGATATCAATATTAACCAGTTTGATTTGCCAAAAAATTAATTACTGAATGTTGTCATTTTCTGCCTGTAGAAACAATACATTTCTCAGGCAATAATTTGTCCCCCCCCCTAAAAAAAACACTTTTCAATAGTCTGATTATGATAAATAAAGATCTGTATGCATAGATATAGAAGTCAGATAGATTACTAAGATGCAACTGATAACCCTAATACAAGCTGTAGAATAGAGAGTTATTTCTAGTTAAAAAACAAAATAGTAATAGTCTATCAACTAACCTTTTAATAATTATAGCATTTTCTATAATTGAAGAGAAAAAAAACAGACCTTATTGCGTGTTATAGTTTATTTATAGTTTGTATCCGAGACAAATAATTAGTCTTTTTATTTTCTTTTAAATAACGCAAATAAACAAATCTAATCCACTAAAAGTCTAAGGTTTGATCAGCAAAATAAATCAACTTCAAAAATTATAAATAAAATATGAAAGATGAATAAGCATTATTATTCGTGAATAAATTCAATAAGCAACTGAACAATATAAATTAACTTAACCCATGAATAAATCATTTCGAAGATTAGTATTCGACTCAGTGTAGATCTTGCTGACTTATAATATCTTTAAATTTATAGTAAATTCATTTATTAAACTAAAAATTAAAAAAATCTTATAAAGTAATTAGGATTTATGAAATGATTCGAACTATCAAACTGATAACTATTCAGTAAAAGTGCCATACGATGGACTACAGTACAAGGTCGTGCATGGAGGACAGCTGACAGACGCATTCCAAGTAAGGACCGGGGTCAGACAAGGCTGCCTACTCTCTCCCTTCCTCTTTCTTCTGGTGGTCGACTGGATTATGAAGACCTCGACATCTGAAGAAAAACACGGAATACAATGGACAGCTCAGAATCAATTAGACGACTTGGACTTCGCAGATGACCTAGCACTCCTATCCTATACACACGAACAAATGTAGATAAAGACAACCAGTTTAGCAGCAGTCTCTGTATCAGTAGGCCTCAGCATACACAAGGAGAAAACCAACGTCCTCAAATACAACACGGAGAACTGCAATCCAATCACTCTTGATGGCGAAACTCTGGGAGATTTAGAATACTTCACATACCTGGAAAGCATGATCGATGAACAAGGAGGTTCAGATGCAGACGTAAAGACGAGGATTGGCAAAGCAAGGGCCACATTCCTACAGTTGAAAAACATATGGAACTCAAAATAACTTTAAACCAATATCAAAGTGTGAATCTTCAATACCAACGTCAAGGCAGTCCTACTGTACGGAGATGAAACTTGGAGAACTACGACAACCACCATCAAAAAGGTACAAGTATTTATAAATAGCTGTCTACGCAAGATACTCAACATCCATTGTACGGATACCATCGGCAACAGCCTTCTGTGGGAGAGAACAAACCAGCTTCCAGCTGAAGATGAAATTATGAAAAGACGATGGAAATGGATAAGACATGCGTTACTCAAACCGTCAAACTGCATCACGAGGCAAGCCCTGACTTGGAATCCTGAGGGGAAGCGTAAAAAATGAAGGCCAAAGAACACATTACGTCGGGAAATAGAAGCAGATATAAAAAGGATTAGTTGGAACTGGAAGGAGCTGGAAAAGATTGCTCAGGACAGGGTTGGATGGAGCGGCCTATGCTCCTTCACGAGGAGTATCAGGCGTAAGTAAGTAAGTAAGTAATGATATGAATATTGAAAAAATGAGTATGAAACAGTTTAGTTGATCATTTGCATTTAATTAAGTATATGATAAAATTATAAATGAATTATTTACTTGTTTGTAAATCTTTTATTTTAGCGCTCGAGTTAATATAACATTTTATGATGAAGGTTTCAGTATGAAAGATTATGTTGAAAGTCCTGAATGGTCAGTTTTAAATTATTGGCAAAAACATAGAACACACGCTTATCCATGCTGTCCAGAACAATATTCTGATACATTATTTTTCATCAAAATTGAACGACAAGCAGCTTATTACAACTATATATTGATTTTACCTTGTTTCTTACTGTCTTCATTAACCCTAGTTTTATTTTGGCTTCCACCTGAGACACCTGCAAAAATGGTTCTTGGTAAGTTAACTGATTATTGGGTAAATATATCTATTCAAATGATGCTTGAAAATGTGTATGAATAAGCATAGAAGATTTCTTCAAGTTAAATCTATGAACCACAGATACGTTTGTATAAAACTTCAAGGAAATATTCTCAGGAAACAATGTTTTCATGTATACAGAATTCCAGTATACCCTAAATTAACTGAAAACTTGACCACTTGCTGTAACGTTTCATCATGGCTTTAATAATTCAAGAATCAGCTCATAAGTCTTTACAAGTCAATCTTATTTACAGAAAAACTTGTACTTTTAAAAATTTCCCTCAGGTTTTCATGAGTGTAGATTTTTTCTAATTTAGAATAACCGATTTATGGATTAATGAGAAACGTTGCACAGTCGTAAATATAAAACGCTTTTTATTAGCTTTACAAAAAGAGATAAATAGTAGATAGCAGTAGAACCTAGGATACGCATTTCGTCCTATTTTAGTGCTCATCTATTGGATATACATGCACTTCAGTATTAATGTTCACATTAGGACACTAATCTACTACATTCCGATTCAAACACCAGAAGAATTTAAATAGACACTTTCTAGTGCAATCGGGTGGAGGAGTTGAATTCAGTTGTGAAGGTTCTTTGAAGATTCTCATTGTTAACGTGTTCTTCATTTGAAGCGAAGGATATAGGATTCGAGTGCTTGTGTTAGCATCACCAGTGGTGTACAGGTTCATCCAGCTGTGGAGTCCAAAGTAGAACGAAACCCACGTCATAAATCTCACTTTTAACCACTATTCGACTATGCTTGGAATTTTTGCGTTTTAATGATAATATCAAGGTAATCTGCACAAGATACAAACATACCGAAATAAAATTGATCAGCTGCATTCTACATCAATAGAAAGATTTAAATAACGAGTACAAATGATTCGCTATTAGTTGTTTGAACATCTATGTAAATAATCCAAATGGTTTCATAAAGAATCACCTTTATATATACAGCATAAATCACTGATGAATTTCATTATTTTTTAAATAACTGAATCATAACGGAAAAACAATCACGCATGATAATTATGTATTTAATTTCACCTGTTATCACTCATGGTGGAGCATAGGTCGCCCACCAGCATTCTCTAACCAACTCTGTCCTGAGCTCTTCTTTCATATTGTTTTCAGTTTCTAGTCATTCTTTTCATGTATGCTTCCGATTCTCCACATCGTGTGTTCTTGGGTCTTCCACGTTTCCGTTAAACTTTCAGGAATCCCAGTTACCACTTTCCTCGTGATGCAGTTTGATGATTTCCATATTGTATGTCCTACCTACATCCAACGTCTTTTACCTATTTTCTTTTCAAATGGAAGTTGGTTTGTTATCTTCTACAGTAGGATGTTGCTGATAGCATCTAGCCAACGGTAATTGATGATAATTGTAATAGTTCTCGAAGTTTCAGGTTCGTATATTAGGTCTGTCTTGACGTTCGCATTGGAAATTATGACTTTGATATTGGTTGATAATTGTTTTGAGTTCTATGTGTTCTTCAACTGTACGAATGCTGCCGTCACTTTGTCAATCCTTACATTCACACCTGCATCAGATCCTGGCTGTTCATCGATGATCCTTACCAGGTATGTAAAACTTTCCACCTCTTACAAAGATCCTCCATCAAGTATGATTGCGTTAGTGTTCTCCATGTTTTATTTGAGGATCTTCTTCCTTTCTTCATGTGTGTTGAGGCCTACTGATGCAGAGTCTGTTGTTGCACCAGTTTACTTCATCTCCATTTGTACGTGTGTATGGGATAGATGGGTTAGGTAATCTTTGAAGTACAAATCTTCTAGTTGCATCAAAGCTGTTCATTGTATTCCGTGTTCCCTCTCAGATATCGAGATGTTCATAATCCAGTCAACCGCAGGAGTGACACATATAGCAAGGTCTGTATGTGCTGCTTCGATGTTTGGTGGTGTCACTGAAGCTGATCTATCTAAGAGTCCTTCAAACTGTTCTACTCATCTGTTCCTCTGTTCTTGAATCTCAGTGCTTGTCTTACAAAAAATGATAGTACATCTTAGTATCAACCCATAGATTTGCTTTTACTCTATCTTTGAAAAATTCAATGACATTTACCACTTACTTAAAATCTGCTGTGATAGTGCTTAATCAAGTTTCGATTACAGTTAATGTGACAACTTGTTGTTCTTTGTATTCTTTTAGAAACATCTGTTTTTTGTATGATTGATTGTTACTTTTATTCTATTCGATCTACTACTCGATTGAGCTTTCTTAGTTTCTGTGAATCATCTGATTCAAGATTGAGATATTCATGTTTATTGATCTCTAGGTAGCAATTATCATCACGTTTTTCAAGTCTGCAATAGTGATTTAACTTCATAATGAACTTTTCCTTACAACTGTAGATACAAAAGCTAGGTTTAAAATTTTTTTCCACTACTTCTATGGACGTGAAATCTATACAAAATCAGGTTTAACTAGTAGTTACATTGTAATAGACCAGAAGAGTTCAGTCCATAATGAAAATTAGATAAGGATCGCTTGATGTCTAATGATCAGTCACTGTAAATTTACCAAAAGGTTTGTGTAAGTTATCAGTATTGAAACATTTATCTAATATAAACGATATTGCGATCTAATTTCCATCTCAATGGTAGCTGTGTTTAGTTACTTCGTAAATTTTAAAACAGTTTTATTATTCACAAATATTAATTTGTAACAGATTGTTATTCAAACATCACATGGAATGTATCAAGATACTGACGAATAACTTCATTCTTGTTCAACAGTAGGTAATTTCATAGGTTCATTGGTAACGTTTTACTTCCTTAACTATGGATATGTATATATCTTCATAAACTTACCTTGGAGAATGCAACTGAAATAAGATATCACTGATGTAAGTGGTTTTGGTATATGATGAAAAACTATTTTGAGATAATTGTAGGAAATAAGGTCGAAGATGACTGATCGATTTTGTATACTTCATTATGGTAGATTATTTTCGATTAGAAATCTTTCAACTATATCTTACTTCTACCATCTATTCACATAATTCTTTTGTATTCAATAGAAAAATTTGATAAATTAGAGATGTTTTCCATTTTTTGTTGTCTCTATTTTCCTTTTTTGTCCGCAATTGACTTTTTTGTTTCACTTTTGAAGATAAACACCTTTTCCGTTTCTTTCTCTCTCTCTTGTTTACAAGCACACACACGTACAAACACTAATAAAACATAAATATAGCTACATAGAGTGAATAATAATGAAGGTAAAATTATTATATTTATTATTATCATTACTGCGGTTGCTGGTATGTTTCACAGGCTTATTGAAATACGAATCAGAGGTAGACTTTCGTCAAGTTTCTATTATTTTACTCTTCCCACTTCTTTTCCGGTTTCCTATATTTTATCATTAGGACAAAAAAATTGAATTCGCTTTAACAATGATTGTAATAATGACTTTGCAAATACTTATCGATCAAATGATTGAGAGAAAAACAAAGTTATTATAGAACATTGTAAATTATTTGTTAAGAGAATGATTATAATATATGGCTGTGTTATGTAAACAAGAATCCTTTACTTTGCATCTAAGTGAATTTATGTGTAAACAAATAATAGTAATTGCCTTTTTGTCAAGTTTTAGCAATTCAAATCATATTATTTGTTATTGAATGTATGTCATGAAATACCGTTTGATTATGTGAATTATTGGGAACCGATGATTCTTTATAATCACGAAAATGCTATTTTGCATATCAATTGCTACGTATTTTTTTGCAAAGTGATTAACAGAATTAATCACGATCCATATTAGACACTGGTAATGCCACTTGTTGTCACGATGGTTGATGCTTCTGTTGAATTGTAGATACACTTAGCTAAAAAAAAAGTACAAACTAGAATAAACAGTGAATCGAGTGGTTTACATTGGTCAAATTCACTCAACTAACAACAAAATTTCTTTGGTTTGATGACTGATTTGCATGTTCTAATAACCTATTTGACAACATGATGTCAGCGTCAAATAGTTTTTTGATCTATGATTTTAAAATGAGGATCCAATAAGACTTAAATGTACTTAAACTTTCATGATTGTTTGGATTCCTGGTAGTCATTATTATAAGCACTAATTTTTGGATCTTATTAGGTCAGAGTTGTTGAATTCCTTCTTTTAAACACAACTACTTGCTTTCGTGAACCATTCACCCTTAGGTGATGCAAACACCTTTTCGCATAAAATTCTTAAAAGTAAATATTTTTTTAAATCCTCATGTATGTTATGTCACTTATTTTTTATATACTGATGAGGATTTTAATTCAGGACTCACCTTTCGCTTCATTTTGTGTCATTAGCTCAGGGTACCGACGTTTGTGTAAACATTGAAATCGAAACTGAAATCCTTTGATTATCATTTCAAATGCTTCAAAATAATAGCTGTCAATATTTTTTGAAGAGTGTGATACTTTTATCAATTCAAATGGCTTGTATTATGTATATATCATTGCTCTCCACGATCTTAAATCCAGTTAGCTTCTACGCAAACCATCATTACAACAAGCCACTCTGACATCAACGAGACGCAAATCCTCTAAACCCATAAATACAATGAATTAACCACAATCAGATAATAATGTAATAATAAGTAAGAAGGGAATGCTCATTGTATACAAATAGTGAAGTTAAAATTCAAGGTTAGCGTTGTCATATCCGAAGAAAACCTCAACAATAAAACTGTAAATTGGAGGACACTGTAAATTTCATATGGACGATAGACGAGGATTCATCTAACACAAAAAATCAGTCAAAAAATACCCAAATTAACTTATTATTCACACTAATTCACTGTCAAATTAATATAAATTAAATTGAGTACTATTTGACTTCAATTAAGCAACGACTTATTGTATGAACTCATATTTATAATATCATGAGATTACTCATCTGTAACCAGCAGTTATATGTAATTAACCAGCATATAACTAATTCACTCCTCCTTAAAATGTGATAATTTCCCATGGATGATTGGAAAATATTGATTTTAATTTTTTCCTCTCACTCCAATAAATTACGTCCTTGTTCACAATATCAAGCATTCCACACTGTAACATGTAAAAGTATTTCATATTAAAAACGATTATCGACTAAAATAGCTTTGTGACTTGTAAGTTCATTATTAATTAATCAGTACAGAAAGCTAGCAAAAGTGATGAGATTATGGTATACATGATGTTTATAAGAAAATAATTAGTTTTTTTAGGGTTTACAGTGGATTTTTTGCCTCCTTAAAGTAGATCATGTCTTCTACAAAAGCTCATTCAGTCGAGAATTTATTAGTGTCTGCTTTGGTCACTTAAGCATTCAAATATATTTTTATAAATAAGTTTTACAGCATTTCAACAAATATATGTGCATAATTCTTCAAAGTTCTACGGCTTTATGTATTGAAACTATTTGTTCACAACCAGTCAAATAATAGGTCTAACATGTCATGCCATTCGATGAACAAAATATCTTCACTATTCAATATTTTTGCAATGATATGACTTGATTCAAGAGTTTTCTCCGGAAAAGAAGGACAGTGCGAATTTTTATTAATTTATGTATTAGATAGAATCTATACTAGAAATTTTGTTTCATGCACTTTTATTGCTTATCATCTCATTTATATTATGTGATGGAATCATACGACGTTTCAGCACATAACAAATACTTTATTCATTTTACACAAAAAGATTAGAATTTACATTTCTAATTCTAACTTGTTCGGTACTAAATATGGTTTTACCATGTAACGTATAATTGTTAGAATATACACTTACGGTTCATCAGTTTTTCCACTTAACATGAATAGAAAATAAAATCAACCAGTTTAAAATTTATTGAAAAAAAAGAGAAAAGCAGAATTCATTTTATCTTACCGGATATATAATGATTAGTTAGTGACAATAGTTTTCCGAAAACACCTAGTAATTATAATCGATTTAACTTTTGCTTTAGGACAACTGTTACTGTTGGTATATTATTTCATGTAGTTTTCTGAACAAATAGTTACATTAGAAATAATAATTTAAAAGATAAAAAAATAGATCTACTTATCATTACTATTAATCGATCAATTTCATAACAAAATGAAAGTCACCCATAGTATTTAGTAGTGTGCTATAGTTTAATATTTTCAATAAAAAAATAGATTTGAATCCATTATAATGATTATTTAACCGGATAGTTATATCTACTCGATATTGTATATGGGGAAAATTATTATTCGAAAGTAAAATATCTCAATACACACTAGGGAGGTTGTGATTTCAGGTTAACTATACAAAATCTTATATTTCAAAGACAAAATGATACAGACAGGCGCCAATAATTGGGAAATCTATATCTTATGTATATATATATATATAATGATTAATATATTTCCTGTCATAAAATATTTATTTCCTCTCCGAAAATAAAGGAGAAAACAAAGATTTTCCATAAATTTCACTCTTGAAATCTAAAACAAACAATAACAATGAAAAAAATAAAAAAATACACCAAAGTAGTAGAAAGAACTCTGATGAATGTAAACACTCAGCAATAATCAATTCATTTCAAATGAAAGGAACCAACAACAACAACAGCAACAGAAAAAAACAATCCACCATACTGAAACTTAGATTATGATTCAAAATCGATTATTAAATGGTTTTGTTGTGAAGATCAACTGAGTTGTTTTGTTTTCATCTATTGAATTCTGTTTATTAAATTATTATTTTTTTTGCTTTAAGCAACAACGAAAACGAAAAGAAAGAGAAATACATAATGTTTATTAGGATTAATTGTGATTTGGATGTCATCTTTCCTTTTTATTTGGATAAAAGGGAAATACAATGATCTCGTTTTGTACCCTTTTCAATAATAATTTCAATAATAATCATGACACACAATAAGATTTAAAGATGATGATGACGATGAGAAGATTAAAATATAAGTAAACACAGTTAAATGTGATATTGTTGTCCAAAATATTGATCAAGTTATATAACATTGATTGGTTGATTGTTATTTATTATATGCAACTATGTACATTTTGTAAATCTATTAGAAACCGTTAAAGTTAGTTGTGGAATTATGATAAAATATGATATTGACTTTTGTAAAAGGAATGTTGTAAATTTTAATGATTAGAAGTTACATGTGCTTTAACGTATGTTTTCATTTAACTTCATTCTTAGCTTTACAGAGTATTACAGTAGCCAGTTTAATGCATAGAAACACATTTAAATTGATATAATTCAATATTTTACACTATATTGTAAAAATTTTATCAATTTCAGCTTAAAAGGGTTGGTTAATATAATCAACAACAAAAAATGGAGAAAGGGTATGAAAAGATCATTTTACATTGATAATTTATAGTCACTAGTCCGAAATTGTATCATTCTAATAAAATGTTACCAAATATAACAATTACATAATGATAAACAAAAATTGACTGAGCAATGTATTTTGTATTTTCTCTTTCCATCAATAACTTTCAGCAAATTATGTATGACATGTCATAGTTTAACTCTCAATCTGTTTGTTTTATATACATCTGAAGAAAGGTCCGTTGAATATCATTTTCATATTTTGAAATTATTTATTCATTATTTAAAGTTATCGTTTGAATTTTATAATTATTTACTGTTTGTTGTTTTTGTATTCTCCATAACAACAAGAAGATAATTCATTAGGAAAGCCTACCGTCAGACGGTGTTTTATCATTAAATTAATATAAATTACTGTTTCGTTTAAAATCAAATGAATGTAATACTATCATTGATGTTTATTACATTTACAATTCGATGATTCACAAAATCATTTATGGAATCAAGAATTTTGAAGTAATCCAGACTGATGAGGTTTCAAATTGTTTTCATATTATTTTCTTTATTATCCTTGTCTCCTCTTACCCTCTAATTCTAGTCTAGTTGACCTTTTATTTTTAATATATAAATGTTCTTAACAAGTATATGTGTAATCAGATTGTTCGAAATGTATTGTGCTATTATATATCACATAGTTCTGTTAATCTTGATCTTCTTATTACACTATCGAAATCATAAATTGCTGGGTTGTGTTTGTTCTAATGAATGCTATCAGAGCTAAATAATTATTACAATTGTTAGAGTAAATAACTGTTCTGTATAATGAATCAAATCTGAAAGTGTTAGTGAAAGTGATAATTATTTGTACTTATCAAAATATTAATGGCTATAATGTTTTATATCCTTCAATATCTACATTATCTTTTATTCTCTAGGAGATACAAACAATATAATCACATAAGTATAAAGTGTTAAGTGTCAGAAAGAAGTGTTTAACATGTCCCAGGCATATGTTTTGAAATACAGAGGTCAAAAAACTTTTTTCGAATATTCTGTTTCGTTAGGCATTCATTGTAATCTCAAAATACTAACCACTGTATTCCATTGCAGTGATATGACTGTAAAAAGTTTACCTTTTGATATAAGTAAGTTTGAAGTTTATTTCTAATCATTATTTATGCTGCTTAGTTTAATTTAACCTTTCAATTATATTTTAGTCAATATTTCTTAGGCATATAAACAAACACCGGTTTATGATATTTATTTTATGTAATGATAAACTGATATAAGAAAAATTGTTTAACCTATGTCATCATTAAGCTGTTTAACTAATAATTTTAAAATCAAAAATTTTTTATTGAAGGTATGAACATTTTTCTTGCATTCTTCCTTCTATTGCTCCTGTTGGAGAATTCCATTCCATCGGCTTCAAGTTCATTTCCATTAATAGGTAAGTATATTATCTGATATTATATTGCAACACTTGAAACAATAAATAATCAATTCAAGCACTCAAATATCTTAAGACTTAATATTATATGTCATAATTCATTTCCATACGTTATTGATTGTTTAGTGAATTCACTTTTATGTTTGTTTTATGTGGGAAATTTGAGTTGTGTCTTATATAACTCAAGTGGTTGTTTTAGGTTCAACTCACTGTCCATCTACATCTTTCAAAATTTGTTTATGAAAACGGTAACTGTTTGATAGTTCCAGCAGAAACCACAGGCACACTTGTCATTTAATTTAACCTCAGAAGTAAGTAATGACGATTTTAAATACCTCAGATTGAGTTAAGTATTGTAAATTTATATGGCTTACAGGCGTTTCTTTAAATTTCTTTCAATCAATGAAACCGCATTTGATCACAAGTAATAACACAGTTAATATATGTTTTTTTTCTATCAACCATTTGACTCAAGAATTACTTTCCTAATACCCAAAAAAATTCTATTTATGAATAAAACACCGTCGCCAAGTATAGACCAATAAAAATAAAGCCGAAATCGATTAAAAATAGATCTGATTGGATTAAGTGCATTCAAAAATCTTTAAGAACATCTTACCGTCAATTATATAATAATGCATTAACCTTACCTACTTACTTACTTACGCCTGTTACCCCTCATGTCGGACGTAATCAAGTAAGTAATGAAAATGTATTATTATATAATTCACAGTAACGTAAGTTGTTTCTAAAGTCCAATACATTTACCACTATATTATATTTCAATATTTTGTTTTACATACACTGTTTTGTTAAGAACAATTCTTAGAAATAAAACAACTTGGTAGAAATAACCTGATTATCAATATTCACCAAAGAATAATTTAGATTTGAATTACCACTTAGATAGAATATATCCCATTCCTTCTTGTCCAATGATTAGTAACATTTCAAAATACGTTGATCATAATCAACACAGGTTACAGTTCTTGATTTTCGTATTAGTAACCTATTTTGTTGTTGGGTAAAATAAACCTTTCATATATTCTACTTTGTACTAATACCTTATATTGATCACATATTACCTGTCACTATTCAAGTGTATAGAACATAATGTTGTTGTACGTCAACTTTGACAGTTTACAACTTTTGCAACTAATAACAAAACAATTTACGCTTATTAATCAATTGGCCTGAAGCACTACAATCTAATTTGATCAGAATTTATTTATTAATCCTAGTTTTATTTTTTTTTCCAGGCTTTCTAAATGATAGAAAATGTAGCTATTCTTAATATTATTTCCAAAATAAATAAATATATGCAAATATGAATAATCTTGAAACAAAATCACCACTTACAGAAGTTTATTCCTCATTATAAACTTGACAATATGACCATATATATATATATATATACAAACAGACATACAAGTAGCTATCTCATTCTTCTTTAATATATACATTCTTATTAAGGTTAACATACAAAATCTTCACTTTTCAAGCATTATTGATGAAGCTGTATGTTCTGAAAGGAAAGAAAATTTAATAATAATAATAATAATAAACTTATTTACTTCAAATTACTGAAATGAATTGAATCAATGAACTGATAGTAAAAGGCTCAGAGGTTTATAGTAACCAGAATATATATGTATATATAACCACAAGAGAATCAAATTATATTGAATAGTGAACTAATAAATGTTCTCTATATATTCTATTGTAATTTATTTCGTTTCAGATTGAAATGAGGTCATAGTTATTTTAAGAAAATGTGTAAATATGATTTATTAGCATAATATAGATCATCCCTCTGTAGATTTTGATTAAATAACTTTTATTTTGATAAAGTTAAGCTGATTAAAATAAGGGGATGTACATTGTTTATCACATAATCTTTCAATAAAATGAAAGAATAAATGATAAAAGGGGGGAGGGAAAATAGGAGAACATTCATTAAATAATCATCTTTTTCACTCATACTTCATTTAAACTTGTTCATTAAAGATAAATAATTACGGGAGAACATTTTGTTTCTTTCTTTAAAATAATACTGATTTCAGAAAAAAAGGTTTCTCATCCCAATGTTATGCATAAGTAACATAGTTAAACACAATGTTTAAAGTCATTTTATATAAAAAATATTTAGAAATTTTCATTCTTACGTTTTAGTATATTTAACATACATTGTATATTTTATAGTTTAATTCATGAGCTAGAGAACCATGAAAAAGTGCGCACTTCTGAGGAGTCCCATACTAGAACGAAACAACCATCCAGTGCTTCCAGGTTTTTCATGGTTGTCTAGCTCATGAATTAAACTCATGAATTCAACTATAAAATTACTAAAATCTCCACAAAACCCCCTTCTGATAATATAATGTATATATAAATAATTATGCAAACTAATAACTTTTTGCTTAATTTTTATTAACAGTTGTAAAACTGTTATGACGGGATGAGAGGTCAAAATTTGATTGATGTATTCATTATGATTTTTATTCAACATTAATTCCATTTTAATTCAATTTGATGATCACCCAGTATTGTATTTGTTTCGTCTTCCCCTATGACATTTTATTCTGTATAACATATGATATTCCCGAATGAAATATTATTCATATATGTTATTTATTTTGATTATTAATGAAAAATGGGTGTACAAACCAATATATAAATGTGCGTATTTCCGACTAGACGGGTCGGGATCGCTTGTACTTCTTAATACTCGCGGAATAGACTTCCCCGTTCCAAACTTCGACTTTTCTCTCTAGTACGCATCAGAATATCTAACTTATTGGTCTTTGATCACAGAGTCTTAGTTCCGTTCGCAGACTAGGTGAACTCGTAATCGCTTCAATCATAGGAAAAACGAAAATAATTTGTAGTGAATTTTCAAAAAAATTCATATTTTACGTATGACAAAAAAGTAATGGTGATACTTCAGTGTTAACAAAAACATTACATCGATCTTTTAACAACAGTCCATATCTTAACAGTTGACAAATCAAACAGAACAATAAACAGTTTTTGGCGCTTCATATCAATAATAATATTAGCAATCTATGTCAGAGTAAACTGAGAAATTTACAGCTTAAAATAAAGGTCACTTTAACCGTTATTTTAGCCTAATTGTAAATATCACAAAACAGTAATTAACTGTCATTTATTTTAATGCACTTCATTCTATCGACTACTTTTACTCTTATGGTATATCGTTTGGTCGCATCATATATATGATCTTTCAATTCCATTGGAATAGCTTCTCGCTTCCTCAAAAAAATTAGAGAAACGATGTAAAAATGATGGGATCATTCCGTTCTACTTTTACAGTAATTAATTTTGCCATGGGTTATAAGCATTTTATAAATGGGTATAATTATATGCAGTTAGTATACAAAATAAGCTAGTTGAAATTTATCCAAAACAGACTTTATTATAACACTGAAATGGTTGCAAAATAAGTTGTTCAGAAGTTCGAACTGATCAACAATTTATCTATTCCGTGTTGTTAATACACACTAACGAGGAGTCCCATACTAGGAAGAAACGGCCGTCTAATGCTTCCAGGTTTTTAATGGTTGTCTAACATTGACTCATTCACGACATCAATCCAAACTCATCAATCTCCATAACCCTAGACTGAGAACAATTTAGGCTTCAATTGTTTGTTAATAAAGCTACAAACTTTGGTTATCCTTTAATGAAATCGATACTGTTATCATTGGCTTTGATGAAACTTCAAGCTATCACTAAGGATTATCGTGCTTGAAGCCACAAAATTAGATCCTTTCATACTTCATACTGTTTTCACGTCAAATAGTGATATACAAAGTGACTGTAATCTTATTTTTAATATTAGCATTCAAACGTTCCATAGACTTTACCAGTATACGCTAAAAATTATTAACTAAATAAATGAATAAAATCACATATTTATCTGTTTTAGCATCGACCTCATTAAAATTAGTCGACCATGAATCCCTTAAAGATTAAAAATACTTATTTGTATCTAAGATCAATAGGACTACATTTTTAATGAGATGCACTGTAACACAACTGAATTATCAAATAAAATCCGATCCTCGAGCTCTTTCTGAATGCCAAACCAATTACATAACCGTAGGATATTGTACAGTGAATGAAAAGAAATAAAAAATTATCTGATAATAATCTAGTGAAGATCTAAGTGTAGATTGGGTAATTGTTGATAAACTAATAAGGTGTATATGGGACATTGAAAATATTTCCTGTTGATGATTACCAGCTAATATGGAGCCGACGTTCATAAATTCCATATCAAATATACTTAAATAATTAAGAAATCAATCAAGCAGTATTAATGATAATGAATACTTGATTCAGTACTAAATATTTAATGTGGTATGAAAAACTCAGCATAAAATATATATATAAACAACTTTTTTCTATTTTTAATTTATATCTCAGATTATAATTACTCATATGCATAAGATAAACTAGTGCACAAAATAAAGTATATTTAAAACAATAAACTATATATGTACGCATGCTAAGAAGTAAGGGTTAATTGATTAGCTCAGTCCATACAAATTGTCTTTATATGTTCACTGTGTCAGATACAGTTTTGAAATGCTCGTGTATTTTTCTTTCCGTGTATAATCTGTAATGTAATTTGGTCACGTTTACCAAAATATATAGAAATATATGAGTAAACTGGGTAGTTTGTATTTGGAAGAATATCACTTGCCAGTTGTTTGAAAGATTTCTAGTGTTTGTTGATAACTAAAATAATAAGTTCGCAAAATATTTCAACGCTTAATCTACTCATAATCCTTAATATTCCATGTAACATAACTCATTATTTTAGCAAAATCAACAGTAATGTAATAGAAACTAGTATTGCATAGTAAGTAATATGCAATAATTTAATACCACGAAAGTAATTGTTTGATAATGTCAAAAACATTCCGGTTAATTGGGTTATACATTAGTCAAAAGATTTTCTTCAAAAAACCTAAAGAGATCAAAAGACAATTTGCCCCAAGATAAATAGCACTTAAAATAATTTTTAATATAGCATCTTCAATAATTGAAAGCCATTTAACATGAACTTGGTGTCAAGGTCATCTCCATGTTTTGAGATAACTTTTACAAATCCATATTTAGAGAGACTGAGACTGAAGTTCTGCGATGTGTACTACGAACTCAGTAAAGTATTGAAATATAAGCCAATAAGTTTTGTAAATTACAACAGTCAAGTTATATGATATTTAACCAGTAAATCTAAACTTGACGAATATTATTAAAATTTTCTATAGAATAACAAGCTATGATTGTTTGGCGACAAAAAAAGCAGTAATGCCTTTCACTGTATATAATAATGTAACGAAGGTATGAATACGTAATCAAACATTAAACACCTAAGGGTATAATTATAGTTAAAAACATAAGAAAAAGAATTCATACAAAATTTCAACAATTTTTCTGTTTTCTCCATTTAATGGTTGTTTGATAATATAAGTTTGTTTGAGTCGACTGAAAATAAAGATTGAAAACAATCAAGGGTAACATTTTTGAAGCTATATGAATTATGGATAGCGATGAAAATGCAATATTCATTCTACATATTGAATATTCTTATTAAAAAATCAGTTATATCAATCTATTATGTCTGACAAATAAAAGAGTTGTACTTATTCACATGATATAAATTACATTTTGTCTGCATGTTAAGCAGGAAACAATAAATTATGACAAAATATGAGTTTGATATACATAGAAGAACTGCTTTGAGAATAACTAAATAATGAAATATGTATGCTATTCAATAACTCGTGTTTCTGGTCATCGAACATTACATCAGGCATTTACTTATTTCTATTAATAGTCATAACAATGTTTCATTTTAGCATTCTTCTTAAAATAACCTCTAACTATTTTATTCAGGGAATTATTATTGTATCAACATGACATTGGTTACATTATCCACATTTTTGTGCCTTATTGTGGTCAATCTACATTTTCGTGGTGATCGACGAACTGAAGTTCCATTTTGGTTAAGAAAGGTAAGTTCTTACCTATTGATAGTTTTTTTTCATAATTGTCAAAATTATCAACTAGAGATTTATGATTATTTAACAATAATCGGAAAATTGTAAATAATTGACGAATTCTGAAACAATGAGCTTCAGATCAACCATTCTTGATCAGCTAGACGTTTCATGGTTATCTAAACATTATTTGATGGGAATAACAACAATTTTTAAATAAAATTGTTATATTAACAAAATATTCTTCTTCTAGAATTAGAATTCATCCATAAGCCGAAAATAATTAAGAAAAAAATTCTCTGCCAACTGTTAGTTAGTCAGCCTGTGAAAATGAATAATTTATGAAAAAGAAAGTGATAATATTACAAAGATAGAACATGATATACAAATCTAAAGTTTCTCTGCCTATAAATCAAACATTTAATGAAATTAATTCGTCCTTATGAAAATTAATTATCAGTCTTTTCAAACCATCATTAAAACACAAACAGATATTTGAAAGTCTTTAAGTTGTTCTTTCTTATTGTTAGATATTCACTTTTTTCTAAAGAAGGAGATCACGCTAAATCACTAAACGTCAGAGATTTAATATTTCCACCAATTGGGATATCATTAACATTTTATTTTATGATATCCTGTAACTGATTTTGTTTACTGAAATAGTTGTTAGTAGTAAATCTGGATACCTTTAAAATTGAGAAAATATGCTTCAAACATTATAGCTTTCACTTGTTGATAATTGTTTTTTCAATTTCGTTTAGATTTTTATGTTAATAAAAAATAATCTTTGATTATTTGTCGATCCCTGATGTGATAAACCTTTATATTTTCCTATTAAATAATAGATAAATCGTCATTTGTTGTCTTCATAGTTGTTGTAGATACAATGCACACACACACACACACAAGCACACAAAATTTCCAACTCATTCAGATTATCGTCAGAAAGGGTTTGTAGAAATGTTAGAAATTCCACAGATTGAAATCATGAGTTAATTGAAGCCAGACCACCATGGAAAACCTGGAAGTACTGGACGGCCGTTTCGTCCTGGTATGGGACTCCTCAGCAGTGCGCATCCACGATCCCGCACCCCACAAGATTCGAACCCAGGACCTATCAGTCTCGGGCCAGGCGCTTAACCAACTAGACCACTGAGGCGGCATCCAATGGTATTAATGTCTAACTTCAACCACTCCACGAAGTTGCGCCATAGTACACCATTGAGGAGTCCTATACTAGGACGAAACGGCCGTCCAGTACTTCCAGGTTTTCCATGGTGGTCTGGCTTCAATTGACTCATGATTTCTACCTGTGAAATTTCATTCAGATTAGTTTAACGGTGTGTTATATTTAAAAAAACAAACTCAATTCAACATTCATTAAAATGATTCTAGTTTAGAATTAACCACGTTTATATATGTGTTAAGTCATTTAATTTAAACATTTTTTTTCTTTTTATCCTGCTCAATTTGATTTGATTTTCGTAATTACTTTAAAGAAACAATTTAACGAAATTCAATTTTTCTCAATGAAACTATATAAATGATTTCTATAATAGTAATAATAATTATTTTGGTGAATTGAACTCCATGTATTTGCTTATAAATAAACAAACAAACATCCATACAAAATACACATAGATACACTTACTCAATTACGTAGTTATACACCTATACAGATATAAATAGGAAATTAAAGATAAATATTTAAATTATGATCAATGTATACACTTTCAAAGGATATAAAATAAATATACATAATAAGAATAATATAAATTGGGCAAAGGAATAGAAGGAATAATAAAAGGGAGTAATGCACTGGTTTTCTACCACAAATTGAAAAATAAAAAAAAATAATAAAAATTTTAAAAAAATATATAAAAATTATTAAAAGAATTAATTTGGCTCTTGTAATTCAAACAAACAAACAACAATATCATTAAGTAGTAAATAATATTTTTTGTCAAAAAAGAAAATGGAAATGAACCAAGGAAATGAAAGAAGAAGAGAAAAAGAAACATTTTGAGCAAATATTATGCGTATTTAATAATTTAAACAAAAATATGATTGTCTTGCATTCAATGTTATGTTAGATGAGTTTTTAGATAATATTCAACAAATTGCATCCAAATAATGATGGTCTATATAATAATTAAGGCTTTAAAAAATTGTTTTAATAGGATGATATTTAGTTTTCTTTTTCTTGATCATTTCAAATGAAAAGTAGTGTGTTTTAACAATGAGACTATTGATATTTGGAACTTAGAAAAAAAACGCCATGATTCATAAGACACAAATATGAAGAAAGAAACATATGTGTATTATGAATTAACTCACCATCTAAAACACATCGATCACTTTGTCATAAACACTTACATATTTCACTGGTTAAAATCATGAATCATTTAAAGCTAGACCACCATAGAAAACCTGGAAGCACTGGACGGCCGTTTCGTCATATTGTGGGACTCCTCAGCAGTAAGCGTTCACGACTTATACATTTATTTTATTAACATTTAGTGATTAGTTAATAAAAATAATAGTTAAGTGAAATACACAGAATTACCACTACAACCATTGATGAGTGTTGTACAACGTTAAGTTATCACTAAATTTATTCAAACAATATTATCCTGAATAAACGCTACATTGAAGTAACACTAATGTTATATTAACTGGAATATTCTGTAGTGACTTAACTTCGTTAACCGATCACCGTCGTAACCATTATTATATAAACCTCGATGGTGTTTGAAATCAGAAAGCAATAAGATACGGCAACTACAGTTTATTAACGGATTGCGCAGATCACAAAGCTATAGGCGCATCAGGTGGATTTGAAGCGGAAAGGCGAGCAATTACATAGGTGAATTTATAGTCAAATTGCAAATTGGCGTAATAAGGTAAAGGCCAATAATAGGATTTGAGTACATATATACATGGGGGGAGGATAAATCATCATGTGATATTCAAGCAATCACCATTTTAGCTAGAACGTGTCATGTACTCCAGTGATCATAATGATACAAAGAAATATGCAAGTCGTTACTGCTCTAATAACATTGTCTGTTACGTAAATTAATAAAAGGGCTTAACCAAAAATAACCATAATCGAAGTTGGCTGTAGATAGTTGCTATAATACTACTGAAAATAAAGTGAACATTACTTTTAGTATTTATCAATCTGAATTCAAAAAATGTGTAATTCTGTACACAAATCACACTGAATTCAAACATTATCTCATGTTTCTATCTCACACAACCAATGAAAACTTGTAGAACTGACTATGTTCTATTAAGTAGATGTAATCGTTTCCTTGTCTAACTATTTGAATACATATTACTTACTTACTTACCTGTTTCCCCCATCGGAGCATAGGCCGCCGACCAGCATTCTCCAACCCACTCTGTCCTCCACCTGGAGCCCCTCCGGGGGCTACTGCCGGTCCCAAGCCCGAATGAAAAAAGGAGGGTTGGGCAGGAGGTTAGCGACCCCATCCCGTAGAAAACTAACTCACTAAAAGCGCTAACCAAAAACAATTATTCAAACCATTTAAATACATTTTAGGTCTTAAAAATAAAGTTTTATAGTATTTATAAACTCTTAAGGTCAGTAAGTTAAATGTGGCCTTAAAAAGTTGCATCATTTTGTATTAATTTATCATCACGGGATTTCAGAAGTAATCTTTTTTTTCATTCGCGATAACAAGACCTGCAATTGATCTGTTTTTATTGGTATATTTGCATCGTGATCTGAATAACTTACTATTACACTAAGGGCTAAACACAACCATTGTAGATAAGTGTTATGAATGTATTTAAAAATCACCTTATGAATGATTATTTAACGCAGACTCATAGTATATGCTTACTATGATATTTCTTCCAAGAATGAATTCATAGCTTTAGAAGAACAAAAAACAAAATCAAATAAATAATTGGACATGAATAAATTTACTCTGGTAATACTAAATTTAGCCAGTAAGTCAATCAGCCATTAAAAACTGGCCAAATCAGTTTATCTCATTTTAATCTCTTATATTATCACTGTTATTCTCATTACAATCACATGTTTCCATATATGTATACATGTATGTATGTATGTATACAAGCATTAATTCATCCGCGTTCATTTATTGACATAAAATCATCTAATTATTTAGATTATCTTTTGTTGTTACATTTTGTACATCTAAAAACAGGAGATTAATTACATATTTTGCGGATTAACCATATATATATATATCAATCTATATCCATTTCCTATCATAATAAAGTCAATGGAAATACAGAAAAATAATGAACCTACTAATTAGCACAGTAAATAACAGCCTACTTTTTGCTTGAAGTGGTTTTGTACGAATAGTGAATCACAGAAAATGCATTATATTACATAGTAAAAACCTGTTTTATGTTTAATTAAAGAAGAAAATATCTCGGTGAATGATAATAATAATTCATATGAAAACTAACAATCGCAGTGAATACTTTTTATCCTTAAATTTTATGATGAAAAAGAACTTTTATTATCGTTCTTGACAATATTCTCATCGCTTACTTCATGTAAAAATGAGCTTACTAATTGTTCCACGAACCTTAAATCAATGGTTGTGTTGCCTCTGTATGTGAATGATTGTTCTATTAAGTTTTACTATTTTTATTTGTATTTCTATTTCTCTTAACTATCTTCCATTGACGTCTGATCAGATTGTTGATTGGCCTTTTAGGTCGGGTTTGATTATATATGTCTGTTTGATTGCTGACTCTCTGTGACTCGAACCGGAATTATATAAAAATGTCATCAATGGTCAAGTAATAAAGTATGTATGTGAAGTGTATCCAATGTGATCAGCGTAGTTTATAACGCAACTGCTACAAATTATTTTATAAACAGTATTGCGTTTGCCTTTATTTGCTATTGTGATTTTGGGTCTGCATAAAATAAAGTGAAGTGACTGTGTTGGATTATGGATGACAATAATCCCAAAGTTTTGAAAAGAAAAAGAACGAAGATTCATGCTACTGCTAATCGTATTTATAAATTTACGTGTACCTGTCAAAGCAGCTACATTGGCCGAACAGAAAGGAGGGAATATCTTAGATTTTTTGAGCATGTTCCAAAACACCTCAGAACAAGAGAAAGAACGACTCTAAACAGTGCAATCACCAAAACTCTCTTGGATACAGGACATTAGGTCGATACATTGCAATCTTTTAGGGTGATTAGTAAGCAACCAAACTCCAGTCTTTTGAAGTTTGCTGAAGCCGTTGCTATCAGGCGTCGAAAACCTGACTTACGTGTTCAAAAGTAGATAATTATTAATCTTTCTTTGCCTTGGTGACAAATATTCCTGTGCTGCATCTTAAACAATTTTTAACCCTTCCTTGCATTTATTACATTATTGGGTTTTTATTTCAAATATCTTCCAAATTAGTAGTTTTATTTTATAAACTGAGCTTTACTCATTTTATTCCTATCACCGCTTACTCATTATGTAATCGCTTGTTACTGGCCGTTTGAACTGTTTTCACAGTCAATGTTGTAGAATTTTCCTTTACATAAGGAATATATTCACAGTATTCAGTCTAATAAATTTATTTACACCCTTGCTATACTAATATGTCTACAACATAACTTCTGACTAAACACTTTCCTTTAAGTAACTTTAACCTATTTTGTAATTATGATTTTTAAATATTACAGTTTGTAAGCAGCTGAGGAGACCAAACGAAATAAAATGGATTCATGATATTGTGCTAGAATCTGTATTCTTGCTCAATTCAAAATTATAAAGCGAACTATGTGTATGAAAAATCACTAAGTTCTTAAATCCTCAAAACGATTTTTGAAATGTTTTTTACAGGGCAGAACAATCCGTTTCCTAGTTCCTGAAGTTGACTCTGAGGTTGTGGGTTGGTTCTTCATACACTTTTGGATAAAAATTCATTTATAAATACTTGTACTTTCTTGATTGTGGTTGTTGTAGTTCTCCAAGTTTCAGCTCCATACAGTAGAACTGCCTTGACGTTCGTATTGAAGATTCTCACTTTGATATTGGTTGAAAGTTGTTTTGAGTTCCATATGTTCTTCAATTGTAGGAATGCGGCCCTTGCTTTGCCGATCCTCGCCTTTACGTCTGCATCGGATCCTCCTTGTTCATCGATGATGCTTCCCAGGTATGTGAAGGACTCTACATCTTCCAGAGTTTCGCCATCAAGTGTGATTGGATTGCTGTTCTCCGCTTTGAATTTGAGGACCTTAGTTTTCCCTTTGTGTATGCTGAGGCCTACTGATGCAGAGACTGCTGCTACACTGGCTGTCTTCATCTGCATCTGTTCGTGTGTACGTGATAGGAGGGCTAGGTCATCTGCGAAGTCCAAATCGTCTAATTGATTCTGAGCTGTCCATTGTATTCCGTGTTTTCCTTCAGATGTTGAGGTCTTCATAATCCAGTCGACCACCAGAAGAAAGAGGAAGGGAGAGAGTAAACAGCCTTGTCTGACTCCGGTCCTTACTTGGAATGCATCTGTCAGCTGTCCTCCATGCACTACTTTGCACTGTAGTCCGTCGTATGAGTTCCGGATAATATTGACAATCTTCTCAGGAACTCCGTAGTGTCGAAGAAGTTTCCATAACGTCCTCCTGTCTACACTGTCGAATGCCTTTTCATAATCAATGAAGTTGATGTATAGTGATGAGTTCCACTCAACTGATTGTTCGACGATGATCCGTAGTGTTGCAATTTGGTCTGTGCACGACCGATCCTTACGGAATCCAGCTTGTTGATCTCGAAGTTGGGCGTCTACTGCATCCTTCATCCGGTTCAGCAACAATCTGTTGAAGACTTTCCCTGGTATTGACAGTAGTGTTATGCCTCTGTAGTTTTCACATTTGCTCAGATCTCCTTTCTTTGGAATCTTGACGAGGTGTCCTTCTTTCCAGTCCATCGGCACTTGTTCCTCCTCCCAAATCTTTTTGAATAGAAGATAAAGCATGCTTGTGGTTGCTTCGATGTCTGATTTCAGTGCTTCAGCTGGTATGTTGTCGGGTCCCGCTGCTTTCCCGTTCTTGATTTGTCTGACGGCCATTCTAATTTCTTCCGTAGTTGGTGGATTGACATCTATAGGAAGATCTATGTGTGCTGCTTCGATGTTCGGTGGATTCATTGGAGCCGGCCTATTCAGGAGTTCTCGAAGTATTCTACCCATCTGTTACGCTGTTGTTGAATTTCGGTGATTGGCTTGCCTTCTTTGTCTTTGACCGGCCTCTCTGGTTTACTGTATTTCCCTGATAGTTTCTTCGTTGTATCGTAAAGCTGTTTCATATTTCCTTCTCTAGCAGCTTTTTCTGCCGTCGTTGCTAGTTCTTCCACGTATTTCTTCTTGTCGGCTCTAATGCTCCTCTTCACTTGTTTGTTTGCTTCTATGTATTCAGCTTGTGCTTGGACTTTCTCTGCTCGTGTTCGGCTGTTGTTTATTGCTGCCTTCTTGTTCTTCCTTTCTTTGATCTTGTCCAGTGTTTCTGTAGAGATCCATTCCTTATGATGGTATTTCTTTAGACCGAGAACCTCTTGACACGTTGAAGTTAATGCTTCCTTGATGCCTTTCCAGTTGTCCTCCATAGTAGTTTCTTCTTCTTTCAGTAGATCTTGTAAGGCTTGGAACCTGTTGTTGAGAGCTATCTTGAATTCATTGAGTTTGACAGTATCTCGAAGGAAGGCTGTATTGAACCTTTGTATTGCTGTTTGTCCACTTGTCCAGTTCTTTTTTAGCTTCAGTTTCAAATTGGCTACAACTAGGTGGTGATCTGAAGCTACGTCAGCACCTCTCCTGGTTCTCACATCTTCCATTGTCCTTCGGAATTTTTTGTTGATGCAAATATGATCTATTTGGTTCTCTGTAGTGTGGTCCGGTGAGATCCATGTAGCCTTGTGTATACGCTTGTGTGGAAATATTGTGCCTCCTATGACCAATTTGTTGAATGCACATAGATTTGCAAATCTTTCTCCATTTTCGTTTCTTTCTCCCAGTCCATGTCGTCCCATAATATCTTCATATCCAGTGTTGTCTATTCCGACTTTGGCATTTAGATCTCCCATCAGAATAGTTAGGTCCTTTCTTGGGCATTTCTCAATGATTGACTGCAGCCGCTCGTAGAACTGATCTTTAATTTCGTCGTTGCTATCATTGGTGGGTGCATAACATTGGATAATATTCATTATGATCCCCTCCTTCTTTGTTTTGAATGATGCTTTGATGATTCTGGATCCGTGAGATTCCCATCCTACAAGTGCATTTCGTGCTACTTTGGACAGCATAAGAGCGACTTCCTGAGTGTGTGGAGCATTGTCCTCTTCGTGACCGGAGTATAGCAGCATCTCTCCCGTAGCTAGCCTTTTCTGTCCAGCTTGGGTCCAGTGGGTTTCGCTGATTCCCAGTACTGCTAAGTTGTATCTCCTCATTTCCATTGATATTTGACTGGTCTTCCCGGTTTCCCACATTGTTCGAACGTTCCATGTACCTATAAAAATTTTTGCTCTGGTTGTTAGAAGGGGCATCGGCCTCGTGGCTTCCGAAGGAACTCGGCTTTCACCATGAAGCGTCATAATTCTTCTAAATGAAGACCTTCTAACTCCCAGGGCAGAGTTAAAATGGTTTGGATTATTTTTTCTGGTAAGCGTTTTTTTAGCGAGTTAGTTTTCTACGGGATGGGGACGCTAACCCCATGCCCAACCCTCCTCCTTTACCCGGGCTTGGGACCGGCAGCAACCCTATAAGAGCTACAGGCGGAGTTTAGGGGTAGCTGGTTTTACAAAAAACATATTTCTTCATTTAATTTTTTACAGTATGAGTCCTTCAGTGTGTTCTAACTCTTGTAAACGGTATCTTTTTAAAGTTACTTTTATGTTCTATCGGGTTGTTCCACTTCTTATTCAGAGATTGATCAGTATGACATAGCTTTCTGTAAACTTGTGTTTTCCGCGTTTCTGTGTTTAGAACTTATATTAACTGTAATTCGTCATCAACATTCAGAAACAGACTATCTATAGCTGTATGAATGTATTTCTCATCCAATCATCTAGTTCCATTCTTGATTATTCATTGTTTAAATGTGACAATCTACTCAGTCGACAATCGCAATAAGCTGAGATGTTTGTAGTGGTTAAACAAAGCAATGTTTCAATAATACAATAGATCACTTGTATTTTGCTTCTTTGGTCTTAACTATATTGAACCTAATGAGCATAAATATTTTGAAAATTTAATATTCTTGATAACTAAAAGATGAGATATCTATTATAGAGTAGTTGTTTGTCTGAAATTAAAAAATTACAACTAAATTTATATTTGCACATATTCATGAGTAGTGCCCCAGAGTACTAAAAACACATAATCTCATTACATAGTATGACAACGATTTGGATATGATAAACAAAAATATTCCAAGTTAAGCTTTTTGAGATGCATGGTTAACTAAAAAGAATGAATAATAAGGCTTTCTTTTTGTACATTTTGGTTACTAAATGCAGTTGAATGCTTCATAAAGTGAAGTTTCAAACTTATAATTTCCGTGACCTCTATGAATAACATTTTGGTAGATTGATTTAAATGCACCGTCAGTATTCACCTCTTACTGTGTGTGGAGAAGCGTCTGAGCAGTTCGATAAAAAATGCTTTCCCAATGTTTCACAACTCTATGTTCAATATGTAGCAGAACAGGAATTTTCTGCCTAAAACGTACAATACAGGTCTGTCTTCAGTATTTTGTGAATCTCCTTTCCCTATATTATCAACTTAGCTGAGTAAAAATATGTTTATTTCTAACTTGGCTTGTTGACTTGCAGCCTACTTATAGCGAGAAAGTCAGCAAAATACAATTCGTCAGTCACTCCAAGTAATTATCAATGGATAGCAATAACTTTTCACTTTAATTTCGAATATGTTTTGTTCTGTTTTGTTCTCAAAATGTTTGTCGGTAACGGAAATCTCAACGGAACTTCATACTTGATGTAAGGAAATACATATTTTCCTGACTACTTTTTGAAAGTCTGACCGCGTATTACACGTGAAAATCTTAATGTGCGACAATTACAGCTCATGTAGTGCTGAAGCATTTCTGAGGTAGTCAACTAACATGCAATATGTGTTGTATGTTTTCATATCCTTGATTAATAGAATAATCGATCAAATTACGGCATATACATCCTTCCAACTTGCAATTCTATTCAATTTAAGTTCGTACATCTTTAACAGATGTCGAAAGTAATATTTAACCGTGAATAATGAACACGTTTACGATCTTTTATACACGGTTCACTTGTCAATGTAAGCAAACAATTGTGAATCTTGAAAGTATAATAAGACAAAGAATTTGATCTGAAAAATATAGTGTAGTTAGACATGTATGTGCATACAACCATATACAAGTAGGTTAAATGTATTTATGCAGTCAAAAGTGATGGCAGGCAGACCAAAACGTTAACATAGCCAATCAATATCAGAAAATAAAACTGGTATTATTCTTCACTATATCAATGAACACATTTGGAAACCGTTCATAAGATTTAAATCAAAACCCTTACCAAACCAGCAATCGAAATTTTTATCATACCATTCTCAGACTTTTGGATAACCAGCAGAAAAGCCAAGCCTACTTAAATAATCTATTTATAGTAACCTTTTCTTATACTTTTAATCCTCACTTGGTAATGTCCAATCCATTTTTAATTCCAGTGATAGTTTTAAAAAATTACATTTTCTCAATATGGTGATAACGATTGTTGTATTTTGTATTTTCAAATCACACAAGCTTTATTAGTATGATCCTGATACGTAAATGTATGGTTAAGGTGTTTGAAATGTGTTTCTCAAATAGGATCAGATACGTATCCGCTAATTTGTAGAGCATCCGTTTTCTAATGATCAATATATGTGCAGTATCACTCATTTTCAAACATTTTTTCATTCATTTATTGAGTGAATCCTTCATAGAAATTATATTTTTCACGGGGAATTTCAATTCAATATTTAACTATCACATAAGTTATGATGAGTTACAGTGATATGTTCAAACAAAAATACATAGATATAAAATAGATGAAATGCGGCTAGTTGTGCAATCCAAGACTCGTGTCTAGTCCTACTTAATACTCGTCAGATAGAAGTATTTGAAACCATAAGATTCAAACTAAAAGTATATGGCTGTCCGGCATCAGTGGCTAAGTGGATAAAATAATGGATTTCTTGAGGTGAACGGTACAACTTTCGAGTCGTGGAGAGAAAATTATCTCTGGGATGCTGGTACATTCAGCTGACAACTTCCAAACAGAATGAAACGCGTTACTTGAATCCCACTACTAGATATATTCTATCTATTTTACATCAATTTGTGTCATAATTGCTAAATTAAGGCAACGCACTTAGGATGCAGATATTCCAACCAAAAGTGGATCGTTGTTGTTTATTGAAGTTAAACCTCCAGTGCATCACTGACCAACTAAGTGAAAGGAAAATTGCTTGAAAATGCTGGACATCACACATTTATTGAACACGGAAAAAAGATGGTCATCCTCACACTTCATAAGCACATTACCATTTTCACATCAACTCTATTTTTTAACTTTCAAAATTAATACAAGGGTTTAGGTATCTTAAATCTATAAACGAAAAGATGTTCAGAATAGGCTTATGACTTTAATGTTATACACATTAGGCTCATTTTCTTAACATATTTATGAATAGTTCTTTACTTCATCTTCCTCCTTTAAATTGGTTACATGTAAGTTTTAATTCATTTCAATGGTATAAACATTTAACTATGAACAATTATACCCTAGTTTATGCTTTCACACATTTTCTTTGATATTTAAATAGATGTTTTCTATGTAATATCATTGTACAGTTCAAAAGTTATTCTAACCTTAGATAGCCTTTAAATATAAATGTATATTTAACAAATTACTAATAATTCTAATATGTTCATATCATTAACACCTACCAAAAACGTCTCCATTCATAAGATTTCAACTTTCTTACACTACAATTGAATAATTCATATATATCGAACAAATAATGTACTGATTACTTCTAATTTTTTATTTATTTATTAACTAGGCTCTATCTAACATTTATCATAAGGATTAGTAGTATATATATTCTTGCTTAAAATAGTTATGCATGAAATGTAAATTCTTTCCTTTTTGTACTAATTATCTTCCTATATATAAATAAACTTCCTGTTTTATTCATTTTTGTATAATTCACTGATTTATGTATACGGTATTGAAAGGAAAACAAAACGTAGGAAAAACTGAAAGGAAATATACACTCATTTTATAAGTATTCTGTTGCCAGGATATAATTTCAATTCCCTTTAAGTTGTTTGAAATAATAACTGGCTACATAATAAATAAAACAGTGTAACGTTATTTTCTTGTGAAAGAAAAATAACATATGAATAAGTTGAGTTTCAATCGTGTTAGTCACACATAACCCATTTCCCTTTTTTTATCAAGAGAAGTAAATTGTTTAGTGAAGATTGTTATAACTTGTGACTTGTGTGCCATGTTAATGATAACGTAACGATACCGCCAATTACAGAGCAGGGAATTATCGATCGGACCAATGACGCTTAAAACCAGTACGAGCAGTCTAGAGTCCTAACTGGTACTGCGTTCCGCCTAGCCCAGAACACAAATCTTAGCCTCTGCGATATGAATCAATTAATTCAAGCATACTGGGTTTATATACCAACCAGACATGGTTTAAGATGTGATTTTTTGAAATAATTGAAGTATACTACTATGAATGGCCGTAAGTGCATTGCCATTTTTCTTCAACTGTGCAAATAAATGTCAGGTCATCACAAGATTCATAAGACGGCAAATTCATATATAGCATTAGTCATCTAAACCATTTTTTTATTTCCAATATATATATATGACTGAGGAATGATTGGTTATTTGTATATCATTCCGAACTGTTTTTTCTCATGAACTTTATGGAAGTGAAATTTATATTAGAGTGAAAATTTTAAGAAGCAGTAATTATTTTACTTTATAACAGAAAAGTTATTCTAATCCGAATGTTACCTTCTACCCACTTTAAGTAACAAAAAGATAATAGTTATTGCGCTTTTAATTCAAATGTTTAAGACTGAGAAAGGAATTGTAAGATGGCTGTACAATATTATGAATTGACTGAAGTTAAAAATGTAGACCGTCTAACGTCAACCTAGTTGTGTGAAGGTTAATACTTCTCAACAGAACTAGGGATTTCGAGTTCTCTCCCCAGTCAACTCTCTGATATACACTTACTTACTTACGCCGCCGACCAGCATTCTTCAATTCACTGCTTAGAATAAACGACTTTCCAATACTTCCAGGTTCTCGATGCTTGTTTAGTGACTGTTGTGATGTAAACTACAAAATTGTTACATAAACACTTCATTTTTCGCATATTGTGTACTAAATTATAAAGCATCGAATAAATCCATAAACATAGATAAAACTTAACGAAATGCAAAGTCAGACGAATTCTCACCAATATACGTTGGAATAATATTTTACTTTCCTTCTTTATCGAATTTTTTTTCAGTTGGCATTACATCATGGGTCCAGAATTCTATTGGTAAATGTTGGTCCACCTGGTGGTCCACCACCTCCGACCTCAGCTTCTTCCAATAAACCAACAGGAAAACCTATAACAAATATGAATTCTGTTCATAATTTCATGACATCAGATAATTTTTTGCGTGGTAATTTATTTGATCCTAAAATGTTTTCAGCAACAAGAAGTGATTTTAATGAAAAATTCAGTGGTAAGATTTCAATTATTTGGTGAATTTTATATGTTTGTTTATCACGATAAATCACTGTTCACTCTCTATAGGATTCACAATATATAGGATTGTGACCGAAATTATAAACTGAATTAAACCCACTAATTAGTGTTTTAACCATTTAAAAAACCTGTTGTCAGAGACGTTATGGTGTGGACAATGGAAACAACAATGTGTTATCATGGTAATAATAAAATCAGTTATATGTAGAAAATGTCATTTTTAAAAAAAACTTGTTTTTTGTGTTCAAAAGTTGGTTTCAATCAACAATTACATTAACCCATCTTGCCTAGCTCATCAGTTAAGCAATTCCGTTTGAGCTTTAATTAATTCATCTCAACTGATTCAATAACTGAGAGTGATGTAGTCGGTCATTGATGATAGTGGTTATGCAAGCACCATACTTAAAAGAAACTGAATTTGAAATTATAAATAGATAAATTTTGTCAGATTTGTGTAAACATTTTGATGATTACTGATAGATCTGAAGCTAATTATTTGGAAATCCGGTGCACTTCTCTATTCATGCTGATCCTCGAAAATAAACAAATCAACTATTCGGTGCTTAATGCTTTTAGTGATTTTTTGTTTAATATCAACTTGTGATGAAAATTATCTTGTAAATTAGAAAAACACTGACAACTAAAAACTCCTTAAAACTGATGAAGAATAAGAGTGAACAAGTTTATTTGTTCACGACAATAACAGATGTGTACAAGGTCGTTTTGGATATCCATGCACGTTTAACGAAGGTATTCACAGTATTTTAGCCAATGTTTATGATCAGAATGCACATAAATGGTAACTACTATAATGTTTTAACTTCAAAACAGTTTTCCTTATTATATAGGATTTTATTATTTCGTATTAACTTTGATAGCACTTTTGTGTTCTTATCAAACTATTCAGATAATGCAAAAGTAAATCGTTTCGGAAAACCACATGGAAATAAATTCTATTCACCAGAATTTTGTTATACTAATTCTCGTCAGGCGCATATGAGGTCACAATTTCCAACGGGATCACCAAATCATAAATTTCCTGGTTGCTACTACCCAGATAACGAGGCTGAAATGAAACACTTTCCTCAACTTAGTAGGAGGCAAACACACGAAACAGAACAGACCACACCTTGTTCATTTTGTCCAGCTTGTGCTGGACTTGCGGCAGCTGCTGCAGCATCTGGTCGTGGATCAAACGATATTGACCCAGGTTATCATGCTGAACAACAGTATTCATTACAAACAACACCTAAAAATCATTTCACTCAAGATCCAACTGATGAATTAGCAGCTGTATGGACAACTGCTATTAATGACTCCAATATTTTTAACAAACGTTTATCATCTCGTGGTTTAATCGAAAATAATAAACAAAGTGAAGATGAGGAAGAGACGACAGACGATGAAGACGATGAACCACACTCGACGCGTAACAAAAGCATAGGGCCTGATCTAGAACATTTTCTTTTACAATGTATTAAACCTGGTGCATCTAAAAAAGCTATATCAGCTGCTAATGCTAAATGGAACAGTTCATTACAGAATGCTCAACTAACATCTCCGCTATATCCATTCACTTCACCTATATGTCAAGATGATTCTGAGGATGATGAACGTAACAAAATGAATTTACCAAGGTGGAGTTCAGCTGGACATAGTATCGGTAGCCGTAGTCACCGTGGTATAAACCATAATTCTGACAAGGAAATTAATCATGATCCAGATAATAATAATTTATGGCGTGCTAATTCAAGTAGCTTTATTGGTCATAAATTTAAAAAATCAACCAATAACTCTGATCAACGTCTTTTAAAACGTGTGCACATGGTTACTCGTGATGTTTCTGAAATAGTCAAAGGTATACGCTTTATGCAAAAACAAAATGAGAAAAAGGAAAAAAATAATAAAATAATTTCTGAATGGAGAGCAGTCGGTATGGTTTTAGATCGTCTATTCTTTATTATCTACCTCTGTGCTTTAGGAATTTCTATATTACTTTATTTTCCAAGATCTGGAGAAGATTCAGAGGAAACTACGTAAAACGGTTAAAGAATAAGAGAGAAAGCATTTGTCGAAAAGTCTTATCGTTTTCACGAACAGTTCATTTCATTGTTTCCGTTATTATTTTATTTAGTACAGATATGAATTTTTTTCACTACAAAGGAGCTTGAGTACGAAATTTGTATATATGTTTGTTCTGCTGTTTAGTAATGTTTATATTTACTTTCCGTCCACAACTTTAGTTACTCTTATGATTAGTAGTAGTAAAACTAATTATACATAAAACGTTTTATCTAATTTATTACAAGAAAGAATATTATTTATAAACTAGTAATGCATGTTAAATCAATATCTAATCAGTACAAAACCAGATAGATGATGACCAAGTATTTCAAATTTGTGGATACATTCAGCTGTACAAATGTTTCGTGATCTTTCTGTCAACAGTGATCTACAAAAGCTGCCCTCTAACACTCAAATTAAACGTACATCCAGATAACCTGAAAGTGAATCGTCTTGAAAAACCATATGGTAAAGAAAATCCTATCCATCAGATCATTGCTCCAATTACTCTTGTCAGGCAAATATCAGATGATAACTTTCAATAAAATCATAAACTACTTGATTTGCATTATCCGGATGATAAACTGTTAAATATTTCATACATTTAAATAGGTAAAATAATAGTAGTTATACATTTGTTAATTTGACTATTACGATTACCGATCTATTGTTTATTTGTAACCCATATCGAACTTAAAATAGGCCAATTTGGAGCGATCTGTTAAGAGTAAATTGCAGTGTTTATTCTTATTACATCACAACGAGAACGTTTACGAAAAGAATACTTCCAAAAACGCTTTTATCCCGATTCCGATCTTCCTTTCTATAACTTCCCTTACGTTTCTTAGATTATACCTTGTTGTATTATAATTCTTTTAATGCTTAGAACGATTTTTCTGATTTTGTTTGTCAGTGTGGAAAGAGATTGAGGAAGGAAAACCATAAAAGATAAATGTATTTAGATTAAACTCATCTGATATATATGCAAATATCCACTTGTATTGTATTCATAGTTATATTTCCATATATTAATTTATGTTTACACTTATTGAAAAAGTCTTTCTTCATATGAGTACTCAAAAAGTAATGTTTAATTAGAAGTTTCTTTAGAGCATTGTAACTTATTAATATTATATCGGTATGATTCCGTAACTCTCTATGAATAAATTTACGAGTTTTCAAAAGTAATTTGCCCACATAACGTGCTGGATAGAAGATATATACATAAACGTATGGTTCATCATGTTAGACGGACAATCGAATTAGCATGAAAACCTTACTGCTTTTCATTGAATTTACTGCTTACTACTATATTTCAGAAATCAGTAGCATAAATATCTTACCAGAAACTTTGTCATAAATAAAATTTACCCCTAACTCTATCTTGTATTTCTCATTAAGTAACTTATAAGTCCACAGTTTATTGTATGTTAAATTTGTGAATTTTATATCAAAACTAAATACAAAGGTGGATTTTTTTTATAACTGTGTATTCTTTCGTAATTCAAAAGCCTTGTATTTAAAATAAACCGCAATACGTAACTGTAAATAATAAATATCTTGTTGATCTTATGAATTATAAACATTAATTTGGTTCATTTCAATTGAGTCTTAAAATAATTTTAAAAAATAACTGAATACTATTGGTAATCACCATAGCAAGCACTTCTTAGAATTTATAGAATTCAGTGTTATAAATTGTGTGATCCAATTATAATTGTGATCAGAATTCTCAGAGAATGCAATTGTATTTTATTACAAGTATCTAGCAAAATCAAACTAAACATTGATTTAATAGTAAAGTTACCATAAAATGATTAGAAAGTTCTTTATCTTCTTTTCTTTGAGGAATAATTGAAAAACATTAGGGGATAGTGAATTGTACAAAGTGCTCTAAATCATAAACTTATCACAAAATAGCGTTCAAAAATAATTTAACAGAAAAAGCATAAAGAGTAATATGTAGATTTCCTATGGATGCTTAACTCTTTATACATTTTTATGTCTACGAATAAGTATGTCAAGTTTCATTAAATAATTATCAATTCTAGGAACAATAGGAACAATAACGGAGCGGATTTGCATGTACATAGCATACAATTCTCTTTGAACCTAGCACACAAAAATACCATCATGCATTGTCCCATCACCCTTGGCATATCAGGCAACCCAAAAGTCACGAGAATACCATTACAGCATACGACAGGCTAGGTACCCCAATTATCAATCATACATATATTCTCTAGAAAGAGAATGATAAAGCTGTTTACTGCATGTCTAAAATATGCACTTTACAATTTTTACATGAAATAATGGGAATTTCAGCTTTAGTTGAAAGAAAACTGATGTTATTTATTTCAGTACATTGTTGATTGAAGTTTTAACCTTCTAATATATATAAACCACATAAAATCAATGGATTTCATTGGAACATTTAAAATAGTTCAATTTTAATGACTTATTTTTTAAAACATGATTAAGTTTCATTAAAACAGGCTAACAGTGAAATGTAAGTTATAGAAATTATCAGCTTAGGGGTTGTGAAGATTGTTAACTTTTTGATTGAGATCATGAACCGATCGATGTTAGACCACCATTGAAAAACTGGAAACACTGAACGGCCGTTTCGTCCTATTGTGAGACTCCTCAGCAGCCCACAACCCTTCAACTGATAATTACTACGTGCACACTGGTGACTAGCTTCGTGAGAAACTTTTCGGAGTTCTAGTGAGAATTCGGGACCAGGTATCTACTTCAATACAATGGAAGATGGTCGCGCAATTTCGTGGATTGGTTGGGGTTAGACATTAACACCATGGATGCCTGCTCAGTGGTCCAGTAGGTTAAGCATTCGTGCGTGAGACTGAAGGCCCTGGGTTGGAACCTCGCGAGCAGGATCGTGGATGCGCACTACTGAGGAGTCCCACAATAGGACGAAATGGCCGTTCAGTGCTTCCAGGTTTTCAATGGCGGTCTGCTATAGAAACCAGTCTTAATTCGTGTCATTAATACTATTTGATACATTAAAGAGTTTCATAGACATAGAACTTAATAATAAAAAAAGTTAGCATAATAATCATACTGAAAAGCAATTATTCACCTTGATATTATCAACTATCTATGTTATACAATGGTATGCAATATTGTTATACACATATGATATATCAATTATAACTTATTATGTTGTTATATCATTATTAGTGTGAGAAAACATCAAGTATCAGAGAAATGTGTTTTGTTTAATAATCTAAATGGTAATGAACTGAATTAATACGGTAAGATTGCTTGAATGTGAAAATGCTTCACTGATTAATTGTCCAAATATTGGACAAAAATAATATGCAAATGAAAACTAAACAAGTAGTGATAACATCCATTTCCTAATAGATTGTTGTATGTTCAATAATAAAGAGAAATTTCGATTCTTGGAATATTTCATTACTAAAAGTTCTTTAAATTTCTTCTCTCTCATTGAAATGATTTCCCTAGTTCATTCCAATTTATTGTTTTAACTTTATAATCTACTACCCAGTCCTACGAAGTTACAAGACATTGCCATACTAAGTGTTAAGTTACTATAAACACAATTATGTAAAAGGATAAAATGTATAAAATCAAAAAAATGCAAAACACAATCATTCGATATCCCATAGAATTAGTTACCTTTATAAATTTAAATAAAGCCAGAACAATCATTGATACAGATTAATAAGGATTCATTATATTTCATTGTTTCTCGTCAGCTGCTTATAACTAAATATGTATTAGAATTTTACACTAAGGTAAGAAATAGTGTGAAACAATTGATATAAGTGAATGTAAAGAATTGAGATGACAAAAGTTGTCAATAATAACTATATATATATGCCAGAACAGGTCAAAGGTTATCTAGTGTTAGAATCAAGGAAACATCAAAAATGGCTGATGTAATAGTTGAGTGGAGTTCAGAAATTGAGCAGTATAACGATACTTTAAAAAGTAGACATCATTGTAAAAGTATATACTTGAGAATATTTATGATATTTTACCATGAAGTAAACTGTTCTAATCATAAAATCATCCAAATAGACTTCTGTACAGAATTAATAGTTTGAGATCATTTTCAAATGATATTGCTTTATATATTTAGGAGAAAAACATGATAACAAATACCTATGGAACAACATAAACATAAATGTGATTTCCACATTAAGAATCATTCTTCTTTGCATGACCTTAATTATACCATCAAGAAGCCATGTGTAATCAATAAACTTAATTTGTTCAACCAGTTTATTTGAATTCTTGGAGTGATCAGTGACAATTATGGAAGGATTTTATATTATTCTAACTGATAATGAATAAACCTATAAAATGATCATCGACGGATTCAGATTATGTTATTCAAAAGATATAATGATTATTTTAGTGTGTAGGATTTGGCAGGTTTCAGTTCAAAACGATAGTGTGGCTAATCGCCAAACTATGAATAATATCATATTCTTCTCTTTACAACTTGTTCTAATTCGTATCATTCACTTCACTTTAGTTACTCAGTTAAGGTATTTTAGAATAACATGTTTAGAAGTCGCAGCCCCTGTACTTATAATAATGTTGATAAAATAAAATAATTAATAAGCAATAATGAATATTGGCTAGCATTAGAATCCAGGACGCGCGTTTCAACCTATTTGAGACTCGGCAGCTTGGTTTGCCAGAGTTGATGTTCACCCAGAGACTCGAACTCAGTAATGTCCCTTTCAAACGTCATCGCGTTATCCACTTAGCTACTGAGATCCCATAGTGCTATGGGATGAAGTTTGGATTCATTTTCTATTGTTGTTTGAATCTTCCCCAATGACGATTAGGACTGCAATTGACTATTCATAATCAAATATATTACTTCATGCAAACAGGATAAGATTATATTGTTGAGTTATACATTTAGAACTACTTCATGCTTTAAAATACATATTGCAAACAGTGATGTTCATAAAAACACACCATCATCAAGATGGAGGATTTTATTGATTCTAGAGAACTCAGTGAACCTATTTTGTTGAGGAATATCAATAAGGTACTTTAAAAACATTTTTTCTTAACTCAAACTATTTGAAACTTTAATCAGTTTCAGTTAGATGGATGAAAATACATGAATATAATCCGTTATTTAAGAAACCGTTCATTCGATGTAAAAAAACTTGCTCAAATTAAAGTCTGATTCGTGAGATTTATCAGCAATTTTATTGAAAAATGTGAAAATGCATGCATTTTAATTTTTCCAAGATGAAATAAACTGTTCTTAAATTGAATGAACAATTAGTGGCAAGTATGTTTACAAAAGACTAAACTTATACGTAGATTGTTTTGCACTAGTTCGACAAACAAAGCGACGTGCGCCTAGAACACTCGGCTTACCATTAGCAGCTTTGAAAATAATCAACGTTTAACACGTAGAGATGTACCGAACTTTTGCAGTCCATTCATTCCTGATAGTTTGAAAAGTATTCTAAAAAAAGACTAATTACTGAGGTAAAAACTTATTTACAGCTACAGATATCAACCGAACAAAATTTCTTAGATATCTGGCTAATTAATTTAAAAGCAACCTCTAGTAATGGTGGGTGGAGTAAAAAGTTATAGCCCACTATAATCCATGTAGTTGAGTTGATGGGATAGAACAACTATAGATCGAAATTTTGCCCTGTTAATTAGAAACCTCTTCTTGTATGAGAAATGTTCATAAAGAAGTATAAATATCATGGCTATTGAAGACGAGAAAATGTCCGATAGGAACTGCATTTGGAAGCGTACGGAATTTTGATAATTTTCTACTTCCATTCACATTCAGTGTTTTACATCACACTACTTAATGATACTAAGTAGTAAAGATTTTACATAATTTCTAGTGGGAAAAAAACTAACTATGCATAATTATGACAGTTAATGATAACAAATATAAAAATTAATATTGTTAGTCGATACACAACACGAAACAATCAGGAACAAGCACACAATTCGTTAACTACAACTATTGAATGTTTGGGTATTATAATGGACAGGAAAATTAACCCGTAAATTTATACACGAGAAAAATAATTTCCTATTCATTTGATGTGTACTGACTCTGAAGTGCAGACGCAGACTAGATAAGCATTATGAGCAACAAATACAGTATAGATATGTTTTTTAAGGACTTCGCCGGTTAACGATGAATAATAGAAGACAATGTGGTGATCATCCGATGTATTATTGATTAATTATCAATAACATCTTTATATATATGCGAGGAATTTGATATGTTGATTTAAAATACATTTAACAGTCAATACTAGAAAATATACACGATGAATGACATTGCGAAAGATATGGATAATAGAAAGAACCATGCATGAATCACCGTTACACTAACCATATTTACAAAATTCCTTATTTTTAATTCTACATGATGGTTTAGCGGTAACTCATCTAACTACACAATTTATGCTCTCTCTATCTATCACACAACGCGATTCGCCCGCAAGACGGAAGTATGTGAGTTTAAGTTTTGCGTTCAGGATCGTGGATGAACGCTGCTGAGCAGTCCCATACTAGGACAAAACTTCCGTCTAGTGATTCCAGGTTA